CATTAGTTCCTTCTCCAAAATAATTGAGAACCCTAACTCTGGAGCAAAGTGGGAGAGGAAACTATTCCAGAGGCTATTTTGACACCAGATTTCATGAAAGTGATGCCCATAGGCAGCTGAGGCTCAGAGTGACACCAGCACGTGGACCTATTTCTGGACTGATATGAGTCTAATGTTTTCCATTCAGCCACATGACCTCTGGTGACTTCAACGGGCAATAAATTTGTGAACCAATTTTAGGAGCCACTCTTGAAACAGGTTTCAGTGTTCTGAGGCCTAATAGCATCTATGAACTTTGGTACCTGATATTTTTCGATGGGTTGAAATCCAAAGCCCTAAGGTTCTTAAATGGTTCAAATAGAAGATTCTTTTATCTGTGTCTTGAAAGCTCTAATAAAGAGAACTGAAATATAACGCATGACCTGGGACCTGGGGGGAATGGGGGCCTTTTGCCAAGTTTCTTGCACATTCTCTTAAAAGCAACCAGGGAAGAAAGTGAGAAAACCAGCTCAGTTTTAATGAGTGGCTAATGGCTAGAAACACCAGATATTTTTTTGTGAATGTTTCAAAAAAAAAAAAAAAAAGGCTCAGGACTTTAACCGCTAACCTTCCAGAAAATGTGCGCCCTTATTACAGGCAGAATAACTGACCAGTGTGTGATAACCATGAATGTGGCCTTTTGACTTCCCAAATTATGCAAGGCTATTTTCTTTGACCTCCCCTTATTACAGATCGGTAAAAATGACACTGCTTTGTTCAGGCGACTCGGGACACATGGTGCTGCGTGCTTCTGCAGAAACACATCCCACATTAAATTAAGTTAGAGGTGGTATTTGAAAAATAAATAAATAATGGAGTTCCAATTCACTGCAAATGGTGCAGGAGGCCAGTGAGTGGGAAACCTGCAAGAGAAGGACTTCTTTTAAAAAGATGTTTTACAGGACTTTTTCTGCATCATTAACTCTTCTGGAATCCTGAACATAACATGATGAATTTCCCTAAAGAAGTAGCTACTGTTTAATTTTGAATCACTTCAAAGACCCACAGTAGAAGAAATCAAAGAAAACCAAAAAAGACCAGTAGATGCGAAAGTCGCCAAGGGGTGGGGGTCGGGGGGAAAGTCCATGAAGGTTCTAACATATTTTGACCATGTACTGAAAATACCACTGATTATTTTGCTAATACAGTGTTTTACTGTTCCATGCGGCTGAAATAAGTCTCTGTATTCATCGGAACACAGGATATTTTTATTACAATATTGGTGTCATAGTTCTTTAAAAAGGAACATATTTTAAAGCCTTGAAAAGAATCTCTGTCTTAAAATGGTTCTTGATGTATATGTATGTGAGTGTGTGTGTTTTCCTCTACACAGATACTTAATTGGAGCTCACATTGATGGAAAAAAGTAAAGAAAAAAAATACTGATAACTTACTCCAATCCCCAACACGTAGTTTTCAGAAAAAAAAATAATTTAAAATAAGCAAAGCAATTTGGAGGGTGGAGAAAAAGAAAACTGGCTGGGGTAGTATAATGATTGTTTCACTTTAATAATAATAATTGGCCTTTTAAAAATGTCTTTTGCACAAAACCTGCCCAAGGGAAAAGAAAAAAAAAACTCCTAAAAACCCCATATCCCCAAATACCACTACATCAAAAACCATCTGGAAAATGTCTGATAATGGTATCCACCCTCCTACGAAATTCAGCAAACTTTGTCTTCCATTACCATTAGAATAATCAACTCAAACTGAAATTTCAACTTGAAAACCCTGAGAAGACAAAGCTGGATTCGGAATCAGATTTTGAAAGTCTCCTTAAAATACCATCTGTTTATAGACACCCTTCTCACACCCGACTCGCCCTTGATCTTACCATAAGTTCACAGCTGAATTTAAAGACATACACACACTGCTACTATGAAGTCTAGTCACCACATACATGTTCTGGGCTTGAATCAAGTTTCCCTTGTTATGTAAGCACTTGGGGGCGATAAAATTTCACTGACATGTAGAAGCTTTGTAGTCTCAAAACATTAGTCTACCCGACTGTACAACCCCTTTATTGGCAGTGGATAACACTGCTGTTTTATTTATGTTGATCATATTGTCAATGCTCCATGGAAGAGCCGTTTAGTAGCCTATTACCCTGTAACATTTTTATTGCTGTTGTTAAATAGCATTACTTGCACTGAACTCTGTATTTGAAAAATCAAGTTTGAAAATTGGAATATCTGGGAAGAACTACAGGCTGTTGGTTTTCTCCCCGTCACATAATCTGTAGATTCTGATGAGAAGAAAGAAAAACAATGAGTATTCACATCTCACAGACAGAGGTCACTAATGGACTGTATTTGAATCACTGTGGCAGTAACCACAAAGTTATTAAAGTAATCCAGTGAAAAATGGACGTGCATTGAAATTAAAGTAAAAATACGAAAAGATGATTATCCAGGAAGGTCTGACCTGAATGGAAAATAAAATGACATCACCTTGACCTTTTTTGGAATCTTTGAAACAGAGAGAAAGCAAAACTAAGAGGCCCTGGCACCCTGGCTTGCTTTTTAACTTCAGACACTGCTGATCTTAGAAGCAACAATTCTTCCTTGCAGAACACAAAGCTGAAGACTCCAACTAGATCACAGGTTCACACGGAGTCTCTACAGTTTAAGGCTTCTGGACTAGCACCTACTTGAGCCTTTCTTGAAACCACAGCTTCAAACTGGGAAGATGTAAGGTTGCTTTAAGGAGCAACCTAAAATCTACATCCTAAATCAAACTCTCCAGCAGGCCAGAATATAAATGGAACAGACATCAGAAGAGCTTCCAATTAGATCCAGCCGGGCCAAGTCAAACTCGGATAAGATCACATCATCAGAAACCTGGCATACAGGAAAAAAAAAAAACCGTGACTGTCTTGGGAACTAACTCCAAGGCGCCCAGTGTGGTGTCATTTGGGAATCTATTTTCTTCTGTCCAAAGCAGCCCCTGAAATTTGTAAAACTGCAATGAAACTAGTGAAGTGTTAAGAGGGGTATTAAAAAAAAAAAAGAGGCATTCTTTCCATGCTAGGTTTGTAATAGGTTCTGCTACAGTACAGCCAGCACAGGTCTTTTCTACAATGCCTTGTATCCCCTGGCACAGACATGGAATCCTGTTTGAAATTTCATCTCCAACCTCCTCCAGTCAGATATTTGCGACTCAACATGACAGTATGGTGTTGCACTGTCATCTGTGGTTGTTAGAAACCCTTAAACGGCTTAACCCTATCCTGTGCGGGGCTTTTGAGCAGGGGAGGAAGAAAAGTGTGCTCTGGAGAGCAGTAACATTGTGGGGAAATTAGCAACTTTCCACGGTGCATGCATTACCCACGGATTTATTCTCTTCTAATACGGTGGCCTGTCCATCTTAGGGATCTGGTGCATGTTGCTTAGTGATTAAAAAAAAAAGTCCAGTTCTAACACTTTAGATGCTGAACTAAATTTTTACATGCATCCTGCAGCCACCAAATATATCCCTGGACAAATGCTGCATGCTGTTCACCTCATGTTTGGGGGATCCCGTCACTGGAGATTTAATAAGGTCACACGGACAATATCTTCCCGATATGGAAGCTAGCCTTCATATTAGCTGTTGGCTGGGAGAAGTTAGACATAATAAATTTAGCAATAAGCCCAAGAGCCGGTGGCCATGCCCCGAAGCTCCCTGAAACCCTGTGTGATGAAAGAGCCTCCCAGCTGAGCGGGGAGCAATAGATCCCATTTGGAAGAGGCTTTGCATAGCAAATGCAGCCTGTAAAGAAATCTAATCAGCACCTTGCACTCTTGGGCGAGCATTTACACGGATTTGTGCCTTGCCCTTGATTAGCTTACTGTAAGCTTTACCAGGGGAGTCCCTCCACTAAAATTAATCAAAAGCTCTCGGAAACTGATTTCCATTTACAAGAGAAGGCACCATGAGTTTCCAGGTGAGTTAATAACGATCCTAATTTAAAAATAAAATACAAATAATAATAATAAACGAGAGCAGCCGCAAACCTTGAGCCGCTTGGAAACTCAAAACTCCACTGGGGGGAGAGGGGATGTTGGGGAACCCGGGGCTGGAATCCTTTCGCTCTCAGAGTGAAAGGCAGAGCTATTTTCTTAGCCTAAGTGAGGCTGCGGTTCCGGACGTCTCTCAGCTGCCCCCTCCTCGGTGCACACTCGCGACCACTCAGCGCCCCCCCCCCACACACACACACACACGCACACTCACCCCAGCACTAGGACGCATCAGGCCGCCAAGGAAAAATCAAAACCTCTCTGCAACACCACCATTCACACCCCCCCCCCACACACACACCCCAGCACACACGCGCATTCCAAATCACAGTGGTTAGTGTTTCATCTCGCCCTTCAATCCAAATGTGACTTCTAAAGTTCTTGTTTTATGATGCCATAAGCTGAATGGTAGGAGGAGAGCCCCCCCCCGGATGTCAAAAGGGGGGAGGATAAATGTTCCCCCTCCCTTGAAATTTTCACACAGCACCCCTCCCCCCGTTTGCTTTCCTGCACCAGCTAACCGCGGCAGGGGAGTGCGAATGGGCGCTTGCTTTTTTTAATACGCTCAACGAGCGTGAGAGGGTCAAGGTGGGAGTGAGTGAGATCCATCCATCATTTCCCCTGATTGAAGAATACTGAGCGCCTCTTTACCCACCACATTCTAAATTCCCAAGGAGCTACACGGTCGGGCACCAGCTGGAGCCGCGGGTTCTGATCCCTTCCCGGGGGAGACTCGCCTCGCCACCCAGCTGCCCCCCGGACGCCAAGAAGCGCCACGGGGCCCCCACGGTGACTGTAGATCTCCCGGCGCTGGGTGCCCACGCCCGGAATGGGATCTGGAACTTCGCCTCCCACTTACTTTCAGCCAGAGAGGGCGAGCTACAGAAAAGGCGCTGGGAGGGAGCCGGAGCCCGGCGGAGGGACGTGGGGAGAGAGGGTGGGGGGTGCCCGTTACCTGCCGAGGTTTCCAGGTATCCTTCTGGCCTGCTGGTAATCCCGCTCAGCGCCGCGTCCTCCCCCAGATCCAAACTTTTGCCCGGTCCTCCGGCTGGAGGCGGCGACGACCGTGGCGGCTGCGGGAGCCCGGCCCTGTCCCCCGCAGCG